GATATGCTGCACTATCACTCTATCTACCAATGTCTTTAACATAGCTTTTATTTAAAGTAGGAGAGTAATGCGGTAGAGGGCTGAGGAAAAGGGATAACAGAATATAATCTAAATTAAAACAGAGAAAGCTAAAATCACTATAGAGTGATTATAGAGAATGCTATAGAGGATAGGAGAAGATGGTGTGAAAAAGAAACAAAACTGAAAATGAGCATTGTCAAAGTCTCAAAAGGATGAATTTGTACTCTCTAAATTGTTTTTTCCCACTATAGATATTAGAGAAGGACTTAGTTTTGGGTGAAACTTTGTGTCCAAACAGATATAGTTCGACTTACTTCTTGTTAATTTAAATGATTTAGAGTGTAGACAAACAAGTGGTATATTCTGTTTATATAATGCACAACAGGAGCTGAAACTGCACTTTCTCTTACCCCCCCACTCTCAATGAGAGGAAGTGAAAATAAAAACCAACACTAGTGTATGGAGTTAGATCAGTCTCAATATTCAGGAATGCACACAGAAGGATTCACAAATGTATTCTGTCATATAAATTTTCCAATGCACACACAAATATTTATCATTGTATATGAGTGTAAATGTGATACCCACCACGATAAACAACTTTTCATCTATAGTACGACAACCACAGTGACTATTTGTGCTCGTCAAAATAGCATAAGTAGAATCTACGCTACTGTGATTGGCTGAATAGGAATGGGACATCTGATTGGCTACAGACATTTCCCTGCTGAAAAAAATGCATTTGTGAATCTAACCACGGCAGGGGAGTCTCAAAAGTCCCACACACAAATGCAGTGAGGTTCACAAATGACGACCAGTTTGTAAATGCAGACTGAACAGTTTGTATATGAATGTGTTTTTGATGAATATTGCAAATACATGTGTATATCATATATTTGTGGATTTCTATTATATATATAAAACAATAAATATTTGTGTGTGAATCAGTAATACATTTGTGAACCGTATTTTTTTATTTGTGGATTTTTTTTAACATTTTTATACAATAATAAATATTTGTGTGTGCATTGAAAAATATTTCTATAGATAGTCATTCATATATAGAAGGTGGTAGCTAAACAGCTGTGTGACTTTCTCCATAACAACAGTTTATTTCAGTCAGGATTTAGAGTCCACCATAGCACTGAGACTACTCTAGTTAGAGTTACAAACGATCTACTTCTAGCTTCAGACAGGGGACTTCTCTCTGTGCTCGTCTTGTTAGATCTTTGACACCATTGACCATCGGATCCTGTTGTACAGACTGGAGCATTTGCTTGGAATTACAGGGACTGCTTTAAGTTGGTTTGAATCCTACTTATCAGACCGATCTCAGTTTGTACATGTTAATGATGAGTCCTCTATGCACACTAACGTTTGCCATGGAGTCCTACAAGGTTCAGTGCTTGGACCAATTCTCTTTACATTACATATGCTTCCTCTGGGAAATATTATGAGGAAACACTCCATACAGTTTCATTGTTATGCAGATGATACTCAGCTTTATGTATCAATGAAGCCCGATGGCACCAGTCAGTTATGTCAGCTAGAAACGTGCCTTAAGGACGTTAGGACCTGGATGACCAGAAATTTTTTGCTACTTAACTCAGACAAGACTGAAGTTATTGTGCTAGGCCCTAAGAACCTCAGAGAGACTTTTTCTAGTGATTTGACTGTCCTTAGTGACATCAGCCTGGCATCTAGCACCACTGTTAGGAATCTAGGAGTTCTATTTGATCAAGATATGTCTTTTAGCTCTCACATCAGGCAAGTTTCAAGAACAGCCTATTTTCACCTTCGTAATATCTCCAAGATCAGAAATATCCTGTCGCAAAATGATGCAGAAAAACTAGTTCATGCATTTCTTACCTCCAGATTGGATTATTGTAACTCTCTTTTGTCAGGGTGCTCTGGCAAGTCTCTAAAGACTCTTCAACTAGTCCAGAACGCTGCAGCTCGTGTACTGACCAGAACTAGGAAATGGGACCACATTACTCCTGTCTTGGCTTCTCTGCACTGGCTCCCTATACAGTCTAGAATAGAATTCAAGATCCTTCTTCTCACTTACAAAGCTCTAAATGGCCAGGCACCATCTTATCTTAAGGAACTACTAGTGCCGTACTGCCCCTCGAGAGCATTACGGTCCCGGAGTGCAGGCCTGCTGGTGGTACCTACAGTCTCTAAGTGTACTATGGGGGGTAAAGCCTTCAGTTATCGAGCTCCTCTCCTCTGGAACCGCCTTCCAGCCGGGGTCTGGGAGGCAGACACAGTCTGTATTTTTAAGAATAGACTTAAAACTTTCCTTTTTGATTAATCTTATAGTTAGGGCCGGTGCTGGTGTAGACCAGCTCTTAGTTATGCTGCTATAGGCTTAGACTACCGGGGGAACTGGCACCTTGAGCTCCCCTCTCTCTCTCTCTATGCATATACAGTACATCATATCACTGCATGTATCTATCTGTAAATCTCAGTCACTAACCACCTACTTTCCTAGGAGCTCTTGAGCTCTCTTAGGCTCCTCAAGATCGTTGGTTGACGGCCTGCCAGAACAACCCCACCCCACCGCTACCCCCTCCCCACCGGATCGTTGGTTGATGGCCTGCCAGAACAACCCCCTCCCCTCCCCACCGGATTGTTGATGGACGGTTTGCCTCCCCCACCCCCTTGCTCCCTATCACTCATCCTGCGTCTTATCCCATCTCTCCCCCTATCCCTTTCCAGGCCCGGCGCAGTCTAGGCCTGTGAAGGCTGTTTCGTCATGAGCCGGGGATCCGGCCAAAGATTTCTGCCTTTTAATAAGGCAGTTTTTTCTTACCACTGTAACTTTTACTGCTTTGCTAAAGTGCTCATGATGGATATGCCGGGTCTTTGTAACATAACAATAAGTAAGGTCTTTTACCTGCTTTTTGTAACATAACAATAAGTAAGGTCTTTTACCTGCTTTTTGTAACATAACAATGAGTAAGGTCTTTTTACCTGCTCTTTTGTAATGTTAACAGACAAAGAGTAAGGTATTTTACCTTCTTTTTGTAAAGTGTCTTGAGATAACACTTGTCATGAGTTGACGTTATACAAATAAAATTGAATTGAAATAAAAATTGAACATTTAAAAGGTTTGTGGTTGAATTCCCTTTTAACTTCATGGAGATTCTGGTTTCTCATATTTTGTTTTGAGCTTTACTCACAATTTTCTTATGATTCTTTTCATAATTAACCCTTTTAAAAATACAATCTTGAATTGACCAAATTAACTGGATTGACAGTGTATGTCTGATCCTTAAAAATAACCTGGAAATAATTCTATCTTACTACATACTTTCTAAGTTGTCATCATGTCTAGTATCTGCTGTCTCACCTGTCGTAATCACCGTTGCAAAGAGCCCGGACAGGAATCTTAAAGGCCTGCCAAACAGGGTTCAATGTGTTTTTTATCACCTCTGTCTTGTGGCAGATGGTAAACCTGCAGACAAAGAGGAGGAAAGACAATTAGAGAAAAAGAGAGGAAGGGAAAGGGAATGAAAAAGACAGACCATACAATTTAGGGGTATGCCCCAACACACACAAATAAACACACACATATAAACACTGCAAAGAGGTAATTTCATTAGTCCGTGGCTAGCAGGTGCACTTGGTATCTCCCGCCCTCAGATCACAAGGTCTTATCTGACTTGGCACACACTGCGAGATGAAACAGAAACAATCTATTGGAAAAGCCCCACAGGACTGCACCTGTTAACAGTCTCCTGCTTTCACACACACAATCAGTCAAGAGTTGTGCACATGTCAAGCACAAACATTTCCACGTTATTCACACACATGCTTAAACAGGCAGCGCTGTTTTTGATGTGTGATGAATCAATGAAACCAATTTCCTGTGGATGCAAACCTAAAACAAAGAGGAGGAAATATGAAGGAAGAGGAAGGGAGGAGAACTCACGTGCCATCCTCATTGCTCCTGTAGAACACCATGAAAGGGTCAGACTTTCCAAAGAAATCTTTTTTGTCCAACTTGTTTCCGCAGAACTGCATCATCACTGACTCCTGATAAACAGAAACCAAAAAAACAAGTGACCGTTTTAAGAGCAAATGCCTTTGTTTGTTTTTCAAACAAAGGCAAAACAAAGGGAAATTTAGGTGCTTACTATCACAACTGCAGAACTTTGAATGTAACATTTTGGGAATGATCTCTGGTGCAAGGCTGCTATTGTTTCTCTTCTTCAATGGGCTTCTCTACATGCAACCTTTAAAGGCTTTAGATGCAATTTTTTGTTCCAGCAGATGTCGCCCTTGAGCACCAGCATGAAACCAAAACAACTTGCGCTGATTACACGTTATCCACACGGATAACGTGTTATGAGAACAGAATATTGAATGAAATACCCCAAACAGCAAAAAGAGGCAAACGGAAAGGGAAAGAGACAGAGCTGATTGAACTGCTGTTTTTAGAAAGAAGAGATTCAGTTGTGTATGTGTGTGTAGAGAAGTAAAGAGAAACAAAGCACAATTAATACATAAACTAACTTACTGACTAATATGAATAGGATAATGTAGAGCTGTTTCTATAAATATTCTTTAAACACGCCCCCCCCCACTGCAGCTAAAATGTTTTGCCAAGGGAACAAGAATAGGAAAGCATCAATACAACAGCTTGATAATTCTTCCACTGTTAAAACATATTGCATATCAGCTGCATATATAAGTCAGACTCTACTGTTTTATTCTATATTTCTTATAAATTATACTGTTAAAATATAGTGTATATGCTCTAATTTCACAGAAAATGTGTTTTTGTGATTTCAACATTTATTTCCATCTCAAAAGCCATCACTGACCCTCTTGTCACTCACTGAGGTGTCATTTAGTCTTTATCCAGATCATCATGCAGGAGACTGAGAGGCACATGCATATTGAATCTCCAGCTCATCTTTAACCCAGTTTTCTCACACTGGGACCCATACAGTGTTCTGTCTTTCTTGAACTGATGACATAATAAATTCATCTTATTAGGGCAGCTGTAGCTCAGTTGGTAGAGTAGCTGCCTCTCAACCAGAAGGTTAAGGGTTCAATCCCCAGCTGGGCAACATCTTCTATGTGTCCTTGGGCAAGACACTTAACCCCAAATCAACACTAAATGCATAGAGGACTATAACTGAGACCTGCCTTGATTTGTCAATACAGGCAGTGACACTGATGAAAGTGACAAAAGGCCTTACATTTGGACGGCATTTTATTTGAAGTAAGAGATAGATAATAGGTATATAACGAGCACAGCCATTAAAACAAGAACATTCATTAAGAAGATTTACACCAATCCTTACCCTGCAGTTGTTCAGCTCCTCGGCTTTCACAATAATGATCCCGCATTTCTTCCCTGGAATGCCTCTGTAAACACAAAACAAAGACTTCTCAGCTTTATTCCCAATGTACATTCTGTTTGTCATGAACACATTGTTAATGTCACCTGCATTTAATAACTAAGGTCAAATTCTTATTGTGTAAGAACTGGGAGACATTCTCTATTTAACATCTAAACATCAGAACAGTGAGTACAAAAGGACTCAATATGAACAATAAGCAAATTAAAGAACACGTTCCTTATGTGTCACATCACAGGCTTCAACCTTCATGGTGACCTTACAACAGCAGGAGAGGAACTGAAGGGTCATCTGAAAGTCCCTCTCCACACTGATGACGGACTGCATGTCAAGGTGTCTATTTATTGTGTAATTTCTTTAGTTAGACTACAGGATATTTCTGCAATAATAAGTAACATCCTCTTCCATCTCACCAACACATTCATCACTGTGACATTTTCAATGAGTATTCTATTATATTCTGGAAGGTGAGTAAGATTAAAGCCTGGCTCACACTGCGATTTTTTCCCTGATTGTATAAAAGTCGGGGTGGCATGTCAGCTCACACTGTACAAGTGAAATCGGGATGGATCGTTGACAATTGTTAATAAAGTTTCATTTGAAAAAAACAAAGGACGACGTTTGGTGAAAGAGAAGGAAGTGGAAGTTGTTGTAGGATAGAGGAAAGTTGATACAATTGTAGATATATGTTTACAAGTTTCAGAAAAGTGCTGCACTGATGATCTGCACTGAAAAAAAAACAAAAAAAAAAAACACCGGGTTGCGTCCTGCCGCTGGTCGCCATGACTACAGTCCCCCCTTGTCTCTTGTGTTTATATTGTAGTCACACACAACTTCTGCCGGACCCTTTTCATGACATTAACGTCAAGATTTTAAATTCTAAATATCAAACATGTTTGAAATAAATCGGGGCGTCCTCGACGTTCACCAAGCAGATCGGGGACGTTAAGATTGGATCTTTGTACCTCTCACACTACAAGATAATCTGAGCAGATAATCGGGTCCGAGCAGCCTTGAGTCGGGAGAGACCCAGCGATTGTCGGGAAGGAAGAATCGGAGCTCAAATCGGCCTGATTATCCTGCAGTGTGAGCCAGGCTTTAGTGGCAATAGTGGTGTATGTGTGAAAGGAATGTAGGTGTCCGGGGTACCTTTTTTAAAGATTAAACAGTATACATTTTAACTTATTTATTTTGGGTCTGTATACATGTATATGAATTGCCATGAACATTTGTTAAAGCCAATTCCTAAGAGGGATAAAGGTTTAATTTTTTTAATTTTTATTATTATTACAGATTTCAGAATCCCTGAATTAGTGGTTATGGAAAGCTTTCACTGTGTGGGAGGAAAAGCAGAGCACCATAATTTGACATGACTTTTGAGTGGCCTTGCAATGTTACAAAGTGGCCTGTCATCTGATGAGCTCTGATTTGAGAGACCCACCTGGCAGAAATCGACTCAGCCCAAACTCATTTAGACAGCTGAGAATTGGGGTCAAGGACCTCAGTGTGAATGCAATTCAAGTCTCCTTTACTCTAGCACAAGAACATGGGGGGTGCTGTTGAAATAGATCCTGGAACTGAAACTTTGCATAAGAGAGACGAGAGCTTTAAAGGCTTTATATGCAATTTTTTGATACAGCACCTTGAGCATCAGCATGAAACCAAAACAACTTGCGCTGCATTGTTGTGTTAGCATGCTAATGCTAGCGATCTTTATTATGCTCGTATCTTCACACTGCATGTAAATTTATCTGAAATGAGCGTGATCTAGAAACACAGTTAAGCAGTGAGTACAGTATGTTATTCTTCTTTTCTCTAGTCCCTCAATTAAACAACTTTTATACACGAGGGGAGGAGTCAGCCAGCCGTCCAGGCGATGTAAACAAACTGAAGATAGGACTCTGAAAACTCTGAAAGCATCACAGACAGTGGGACTCGGGTGTTACACCCATTGTAGACAGTCATGACTCACAGAGTTATTTTCAGAGGATATACTTGATTTCTATTATATTTAAGTGTTAAAAATCACATTAAAGCCTTTAAATGTCTATTTTACTTGCAAAAGCAATGCTATTCTCAGACATATATCAGGAAATGATATTACCATCACGACAACTAATGCGTGTTGCAATCCAAGGCTGCAGGTCCAACAGCAGACCTCACCACTGATACAATCCAGAATCTGTTGGAAAGCATTCCCAGGATTGTGAATGCAGTTCTGGATGCAGAGATGGGTCTAACTCCATTTTAATGTCATTGGTTATAATCTGGTTTCCATTGACTGTTGTTATAGTGTACAACATTAAGGCAGATTAAACTATTTCATTGTCTCTTCTCTATATGATCCTCACACTTTCAGTCTCAATCATGTATTTGTGCTGCAACAATAAGCTAAAAGAAAACTCTCATGCACACACACACACACACTAGAAAAGTGCAAAGAACTTGTGTCGCCATGACAATCTATCAAGCTGGGGCCTTAACAGTAGGATATTGAATAGGATTTCTCTGCTCATTATTTTCTCTTGTCGCTCTATTTTTCATATAGTCGTGGTGGTCATTATTCTGAGAGATCGGCCTTAAAATGATACGTGGGTGGTAACCAAGAGGACTGCATAGTTACTGGATGAATAATGTATCTCACAGTTTTACCATATGCATGCAGACACAATATGTGACAAACACAAGAAAGGGTCAGGTAGAAGCTCAGAGATGTATCTCATACAGGTGATTTCAAAACAGTGCTCTGCAATTTATGTGTATGCGTGAATGTAAACTGCCTATAGAAAAATATGTGTAGTTCTTCCTGCAGTAGAAAAAGAATGACAGCACATTAAAAATATCATAGTGATGATCATAATGAGTGTTGTGTTTTTTGTCGCAGTAAAGCACTTTTAAATGGTAACACTATTTATTGATCATATAGAATAATAGAGAGAAGAAAAAACATTATGAAAGCTGTAAAAGTATAACATTGGGTCTATGAATGCAATAGATAGACAGATAGATAGATACTTTATGGGAAATTCAAAGCATCCAGTAGCAAGTTACAAAGCCGTACATGACATGAAACATTTGTTACCAATTAACCACAAAACCGACACCCCCCCTCCCATACATATATATTAACCTGAAAAAAGATTTAAAGAATACCTCTAGATGAATCAAACTTAAACTGTGCAATTAAAAAAAGACTTATACAAGAAATGTACATAACCCGTGCAGTGATAAAAATATATGTGCAATTTAAACAAGAACCTATAAACAGTTGAGGAAAAAATCTGTAATTAGAGCTGAATATAAAAAATAAAAAAGTGTTGAGAATACAGTGAATGATTTTCAGTGATTTTTGAATGAAAGAGCTCTTGAAAATTCACTCTTTGGTCATCCTCACTTTAAGTTGAATGGCTCCCCAATTTTCAGTTTATTAATGACACATGAAGGGGACTCCAAAGTATTGAAGTGTTCTCCCTGCATATGTGTCAGTGCGTGCACACGTAAGGACACTGCTGTGAATCTTCTACACATATGCATGCACAGACATGGGCTCAAGCAACTGAGAAAAGAATCCCGTGTCTGCACATGTATGTCATTTTATTTATATTTCTAATTGAAGGAGAACACAAAAAATATAGGAGACATTTATTAACCATTCAAATATTCTGAGTCAACACAACCACTGAAACACAATAATACTTTTTCCAAGAGGAACATCGAAATCAAATCCATTTTTCACCACAGTCACATGAAGATGTACAAATCCTTAAAATCAGGCTTGTATTCATAAGAACTTGTGTGTGTGTGCGCGCACGTGCATGAACCAAACTAACTTTTTTACCTCTTTTTTTCTTAATAGCACTTTATTTAAAAAGCAGCATTTTCTTTAATTTAACATAATTAAGGCTTGTATTGAAGTAATAGGCTATAAAAGGGACATTTTTCAACTTTCAAAGAACATACTGACATGCTCTTAGTCTAGGTCATAAACAGAAAAACTTTTATTTTACTGAGAGCTAAGAGAATCAGTACTATATATATGAGGAGACTCATCCCAATCAGAAAGGTTTCTGCTGGAAATTGTGATTTTTTGATAGCATAAGCATGTTCACTCATGACAATCCAGCCCTCCCCTCTTAAACAAGTGTGTGATGTGTTTTCAGGAAACCTGAGAAAGACATGTTTAAGTCACTCTATGTTTACTGCTTAGTACATACTGTAACTGAATCTGTGTGCTGTGAAGTTTAGTTTCTCTCGTTTGTATTTCAAACATCTGAGTTGTGATAAAATCCCTTGTACTAATTACTAACTAATCATCTTGTACTTAAGACAGGGGAGACATCATTTTAAACACTTTCAGCAGGTACACTCACACAGAGTCAATCCTTTCCAGCACATCTTTGCTGAAACTTCCTCTGCCAGGAGGAGGCGGAGACCTGTGGTCAGTTAGTGTGTAGGACCGTCTTGCTCTGCTCATAAAGCCAGAGCAGAAAAAGCAGAAGCATTTTACATGCGTTTACATTGTTTTCTGTCACAAATCACTGTTATTTTACTTTTATTTACACGCCACCGTCGCCATAGGTTGAGTAAAAAACCCTCCCATTTGTCAGGTGGTGGGTGCTGGTGTGTGTGTGTGTCTGCCTTCTTACTTGTATCTGAAATTGTAGCTCACTTATCTATTTCAGAATTCACCGGGGCTTCTCTCTACACACTTAAAATGAAAAATTACAATCAGCACTTAAACTGCTTGTAAAGTTGTAATTTGTGTTGTACAAAAGTTTCATAGGTCCCACGTGGATCCTGTTCACACCCAAATCTGTGCTGGTTTCTACACCAAATGAGGGCCAATGAGAGCAGATACCATGCATTGTGGCATAATTTTCATGCCATTGTTTTGCTGCTTACTGCTGCATGCTCTGAAGTCTCTTTCCACACACACACACACACACACACACACACACACACACACACACACACACACACACACACACAACACACACACACACACACACACACACACACACACACACACACACACACAGATTCCAGAATGCCTACAGGAGTTTGAAGGAACAATGTAATTATCTGTAATTAGCACTCATTAAAACTGTTAAAGATCCCCCCTGCCATTTCAAGCTGCAGGTGTGGGTCTACCCAAGTCGTAAACACACAAACACACACACTAGCCCCAAACACAAAGACTCAAAAATACACTACCTGAGCAATATAACAACAACAGCAGCTGTGGCTTCTCTCCACCTTTGTTTTTAATTATTCATGCCAGCATTTATATTTCTGCAACAAATCACTCAACATCTTTAAAAAACATGGTCTGTAAGAGTGCTAAAGCACTTCTTTAGATAAAAGGCTCAGCCAAAAGTCTTATCCTGCCGTTGCATCTGAGACAAACCACGGTCAGTATGATTGTGTCAAAGACAAAAACTCGCCCTGGATAGGAAGGAACACAAGAGCAGAGCAAAACATGGCTCAGGACGGCAACGCCCATGCCCTGCTGAAATAAAACGGATGCACACAAATTGAATACATGAATTCCTTAAATAAAGTACTTTGTGATATCCTTCCAGAGTGTCAGGGCATTGCTAAAAAAATAACAACATTTTATACCTTCCTTTTTCAGCTACTTTTCACTCCTCACCATTGCACTGTTCCTTGTTTGTTCACACATACCTTTGCGTATTAACTTATTTTATGCGCAGAGTAAGAACATTTCTACACACACGTTAGTGAACAAGGTCCTGTGTATCCCAATTAGAAGATTTTGCAGGTGAACTTCAGAGTATTTTGAAAATTACAAGTTATTATGGTTTCTTTTCATAAAGTTGATGGTGCAAGCTGATACAAATTAGACCCTAAATAACTGCCATGCTTGACTACAAAAATGTATGTACCCTAAATCCAGATTTCACCTTCTGTAAAAGTTTGGAAAAAGAACTCTGCTGTTTATTCTTCTTTTTAATTACCGGTTTGTTTTTTTAAAGTTATTTTGTGGGCCTTTTTGGCTCTATTAGACAGGAAAGCTGAAGAGAGACAGGACATTTTGGAAGGAGAGAGTGGAAGATAACATGCGGCAAAGGGTAGAGGTCAGATTCAAACCCATGGCCGCCGGCTTGGCTATCAACGCCCAATTTTCATCCACTTGTTACTTAAAATAAATATTTGTACAAAAAAACTTTGTAAACTCACATATGGACACCACTGCCAGCTGTCACATCAACAACAAATAAGTATAATTTGGCTCACAGCATCACAGCATCATGAAACAAACACCCACAAATACCTGCAGACATCGACATGTACTCCTGCAAAGACTGACAGCCAACAGGTGCTGAACACCACCTCTGTAATGAGCCTCTGTAATGAGCCTCTGTGTTTGTATGTGTATATCCCTGAATGTGTGGGAGTGTGTATTCATTAAAAACTGTATGAAATGTCTTCCCAGAAACAGAAGTCAGGGATATCCTTGATATTAGTTGAGTTGCTCAAATTACCAAGCTTCGGGTTTTATTTTATAAAGACCAAATCTATACAAACCACACAAAGCTGTAAAGTAGGGCTTTCACCCTCCTCATCTCCTTTGACAAGTCAAAAGTAAAATCCAACTTATGTAATCAAACATTTCACTTTTAACCGTTCTTTTAGTTTAAAACACTAAATAAAAGCCCAACAATTTTTATTGTTAAATGGGAAATTATGCAATTTCAGACAATCTGAATATTGCCATTAACCAATAAAATTTAGAGATAATTTGCTATTAAAATGTTGAATCATTTGACAGCCCACTACAATTCAACTTTTTTAATCCCTTTTGGGGCAATGGGTGTGGCCCAGGTATGGTGTCATTCTGTAGGAAACTCTGATTATCTGACTATAATGTATATTCTATAGGGAGAAAGGATTCCAACATGTCCTGAGAATCATTTGATTTTATTTGCTGTTACCATCATTAAACGTCAGCCAACTACTCAGACTTGTAATTGCTTTAGTTCCACCTACTCACCCAAGTGCTTTTTCCAGGCGACCTCCCAACGATCCAACCACCTCTCCCAGAGTACAATGGGCCTGACCCAGAAAATCCTACAAAAAGAGAGAGATTTTTAAAATAGGTATAAAGGTTCCTTTTTTCAGATAAAGCATAGAAAATAATAATAATAAAGTATAAAGTCAGTTGATACAACCAAACTGATAAAAAAAAGATTCCCACAATAGAGAAACAAATATCAAGCTTGTCACTGAGCTAGAAAGCACAACCTCATACAGTATGTTGATGGATTTCAAATATGTCATTATTCCCCATTTGCACATAATATGAGCACTTGAGCAGATAGATTTGAGGTGCTCCCTTGCTCCCATTCCTGGTTAATGAAATCTTGATCACATAATGAAACTCTACAGCGCACACTGACAGATAGGCAGAAAAACAAAGTCAATGGAACAACAATGTGTTTTGACAATTCAAATTAGTGTCATACTAAATATGTTTGCAGGGATTTCTAGATGTCTGACAGATCAAAGAGTAGCAGTAAGTGTACTTCATGTTTAACACTTGTCTTAAAAGAAGAAAGTATAAAGCACAGCTTCTGTAACACACCAACTTTTCCCTAATTGTGTGAAAGCCATTACATAAACATAATCCATTCTTCACCAGGGTTCACACTCATGAGTGTTATGCATGTATCTATTTCTATCCATCTACGCAGCTAGTATATGAGATGACTTACATTTTCCATAGACTAATTGAATTTAGGGAAAATAATTTCTTAAAAACCACAAAAAAATAATGTATTTGTAAATTAGTCTGTTTCCAGAATAAGAATGTACTGAATAATGCATTAGATAGCATCTAAACATTGAAGCTATTTTTAAGAAGAAATATAGTTTTTGAAACATGGTTCAGGAACATAGACCATGCCTCAAACACAACCAATTTCCGTTTCAAGTATTCAAGCATGCCTTAATCACTCCTATTACTCTGATGCTGATTCCACATGAGGTGGGAAAGGTACGCGAGAAACAATCCGACTTTTTCTGTTCATGGTAAATGGACTTGAATTTGTAAAGCGCTTTTCCAGTCTTCTGACTACTCAAAGAGCTTCTACACCACATGTCACACCCACCCATGGTGGGTCATCATGTTTTATATTATAAATATATATATGTATATTTTGATATTACGTTTGTGTTTATATCAAATATGTTTTTTCCCTCTACATTAATTTAGCAGGCTGTGAGATGACGTTGCACTGTGATGGTAGAGGCTGCTGTATAAAGTGACCATCAGAAGTTACTAATCCCATTCATACACATTCATACACCGCCGATGAAGCAGCGGGAGCAACTTGGGGTTAAGTGTCTTGCCCAAGGACACATCGGATATGTAGCTGCAGTAGCTGGGGATCAAACAACCCGACCGCCTGGTTTGGAAACAACCAACTCAATCAACTGAGCCACAGCCACTCAGCACCAAGTCCTTAACGCAGACTCCGATCAATATACACTCTTTGGAGTCCTTTTACTCCCCTCATTTACAAACACACACTTCACTTCCATTATGATCTTCCTGCCATCCTCACTCCATGGAACGTCAGACCGTCACATCGTGGGACCTTCGCCCTCCACCAGCCCAAGGTTAAGATCGGGTCAACAAACACAAAAGAAAACAGCTGTGTGCTCGAAGCATGCTCTCACCAAGACCAAACTAACTTTACTAACTGTCTATGGCTTCTCAGCCATGCTTCAATCACCCGCTCCCTAATGCCGCATCACCAGGGTCGGACCCGCAGCGTCACCCAAGACGTCATCACGCATCTTCTCATATCGCTGAGTCATATCACACACAGTACTAAGCCTTCAGTTTCAGAATCATCTCATCACCTCTCTTTCTCCATCAAATACCACAAACTTCAGCATCCAAGTCCCATTTCCTTTCACTCCTATTTTCCCGCCCTCAGATATCATTTTGGTTGCTATGCGCCGCATTAAGTTGCAACAAGTTCTTTTAGCACCAAAGTGTATGTCTTCTGTCCTTATTTTTGTTGTTTTGTCGACAAACAATTACCTCATGTTGCAACAGACAAGACGTGGCCATCACATTCGGTTGAGCTTAAACAGCCATACTGCAAATGTCGGGCTGGAGCTAAGCTTAAGGCTTAACGTAAGGCTAGGAGATGGAGATTTCAGCCTGTCCTACCTTCAATCCTCATGGGGAATGTCAACTCCCTGTCTAACAAATGTGAAAAGCTGGAAGCTTTGGCAAAACCAAAGGGACATATCTGGTGTTTTACAGCGACCTGGCAGAACAACAACATCTTGGACACTTAATACCACTCGAATACCAACAGAAGAACTTTGCAGGGGATTTTGGCACATTGTTTTAGGGCACTACCCACACGTTTAGCTGTGTTGCACATTCCATGAATGCACGATCCTTACAAGTTAATCAGGCTTTCCAACGATATAAAATACAACACCAATTAGTAATATTAAAGGGGCGAAATAATTGACCGAAATAACGTTTCCAAACTTTTTTTGAGGAGTTTATCTATCTATCAACCTCTATCTGTCCACAGCGATGTATCTAGCCTTAACTGCTTGTTCACATTTATTTCACACCCCCCCTCACTGACTATGCATCTGTGTCGTTTGATTGTGCATTTCATTTGATCTAGGAAGTTGGGAAATACAGAGCAACCGGAATTCCGACATGAAAACTTGGGAGTAACTTCATTAGTCCAACAGCTGAACAGTAATGTTTAGGTTATCGAGTTTATTAGCAACTTAAGCCCTATTCTCACAGCACTAGTATTACCTGGGGACCTCCAGTAATTTGTAATAAATGCGGAGGTCGTCTGTGATCTTCATCCCGTGCGAATCTGCCATGTCTGTAATTTGTAAAATAAAAATTCCACCTCAAATGACCTACAATATTTCTCCAAACACAGAGGTTATGTGATAATATTAGTCCTGTGCGAATCGGCCTCTCGGTGATTTGGGGTAGGTTTTTTTGTGTTCTCCGCACCTTTTTTCTTCCTTTTTCCAGGTCGAGAATTATGCAGGCTGCGTTGGCAATTCTAAATGAAAGTTTTAACAGCATTTTGGTTGCAAATTCAGGAGGCTCATCTACACAGCATGGAGACCCATTCACAGAAAGAGTTCAAATCCATCAGAAGAGAGAAATCTCCAAAGATGATTAGATGGATTACATGCACGGAACATTCTTCTATCTTTTACACATAGATTACACAGAGCCTTGTGTTATACTAGTAACGTCTGTCTGTGAATGGCTCAGTGCGAGTGAGGAAAGAGAGAGAACGAGGGGAGTGTGTGTTCGGCAGGCGTGTGTGAGAGGCACATTACTGATGCCGGGGACCGGAGCAGAATCAGCACAGAGAAACTAGTCAGCATCTGAAGTGTATGTACAGTTTGAGCTTTGTGTGTGTAATAAACGGTAACAAGCCGGACTCTCCGTGTCTGTTTACAACTTGCTGCACTCCAGTTAAAGTGACGGGGGTTAGTCCCGAAGTTGAGGGATACAACTTCGGCCCTGAAGCAGACCAATCAGTCTCCCGTTTGGAACGCCGAAGCAGGAAAGGTTAACACTTGACATCGTATCCGGGGGATAATGTCAGTAAATTTGAGTTAAAACACAGACTTCACTTATCCTGTGCGAATGCGCCGCACAACACACAGACGTGGTGGGGTCATTTCTAAATCACATGAACTCCCCAGGTAATAATCAATCACACTGAAAGCACAGTACAAGCTCCATTCACAGACATGTGGTTGTGTTGTATTTTCAGATATTAGCTAATAAAACAAAGGTCTGTTAACTCATGCTTATTACAATAAACTATTCTAAATCAAGATCTTTGTCGGTGTGGTCTTTGTTGGTGAATAAATGATGAGCCCTACAGGAAAACAGCTGACTAGCAAAGTGAAACATTTTAACATTTCACCAATTTAATGCTGACTTTTTGTAGAATGAAAACACAGCTATATTATTTTCTCCTTTCGAGGGCACTGCTCTATCAGAAACAGTTAATATTTATTTAGAGACATCGGGTCTAATTTGTCACTGCAAAGGAGCTTTGACAAGTTGGGACTTTACTTTATTAAAGGACAAGTAAGACTGTCCTTTCACATAAAATATGTCAAACATCTGGCAGCTGACTAAATTTGCTTTTAACAACACAAAAACTAGGGAAAACTGCTAGCTTTAAAATGTAATTAAAGTGTAAATAGCCATTTGTATATTCTACGTCTGCATTTAATTATTGCTGGGGGGTTAGGGAAAAAACTGCATAATTTTTGCAGTAACAAACATATATCATCATCATCATCATCTTCTTTATTGCCAGACTCAGGAGTCCATTAGAAAACGTAAAAAACAAGCAAAATAAAAACACAGGGTAAAAACACATACAGACAAGACAAAACCACCAATATTATAAAAGACAACTGTACCAGTGTTGCCACAAGGATGACTGGTATCGTACAGAACTATGACTGGGATTTGTCAACAGCATAATGATGGAATTCTGAGAATCCTTCAATCGGCAGATACATTTGTACATTAAGTTTCTCATAAGAGCCTGAAAAGTGTTTACTCCTGCATTACAAAATAACTCACTTGCACTAGTCCATCGAGGTTTTTTAAACAATATTCTCAGGGAGTCATTATATGCAACTTTAAGCTTTTGTAAGCTTGCCTTTTTAAACCTGGCCCACAAGGGGGCAGTATACAGAGGAGTACAATATGCTCTGAATAGATTTTTCTTAACATGACCTAAATACCTGACCTAAGGGGGAGGAAATTGTATCTCCCCATTTGACTTGCATACTCTGGTTGGCATACCAGTACGCCAGAAGCCTTAATATGTAATCAGGGACCCCCTTTTCACTTAGTTTCATAAACAGCTTTCGATGATTGACAAGATCAAAGGCCTTAGAGGCATCAACAAATCCTATCAGGACTGAGGAGTTTTTCCTCCTATATACCTCAACAGCTTCTTTCAAGGCATAAATACAAAGATCAGTACCATGCTTAGATTTAAAGCCAAACTGGTTATCTGTGGTACCAATATATTTAGTTATCTGCCCTAAAAGAATACTCTCAAGGACCTTAGATACCACACTGGCTAAAGCAATAGGCCTGTAGTTATCTAGGCTCCCAACCTTGCCAGCTTTGTTCTTGATAACAGGCACCAAAGTGACGGACAACATGGAGTCTGGTAGCAGGCCATGAGTCATTAGTGCGGTAAAACAGATAGCAAGAAGAATAGCAACCTTTGGGGTAGCAAACTTGCAGTGATTTCATCTGAGCCACTTGCCTTATTTTTAGCAAGCTGCAATATTGCTTAATGGACCTCAGTGGCTAAAACCCTCAATATCACTACAAGCAATGTTTCCCAAATGATATGGGTCCCCTTTCACACAATTAAATAAAGAATAGTAATGTTGCCTCCATATCTCAGCAATGTTATATACAGTATATATATATATATATATATATATATATATATATACACACACACATACACACTGTATTATTATTATATTATATTCTACTCTATACAATACACTGTATACAACAGAATACTGTATCTTATTGCATTATATTATACTATGTTATAATTAATTTTGTATAACTGCACTGTTCTTCTTTAGATCGTCATATCATGCTGCTCTTTTACTGCTGTTTATATAAACCTAAACTTTTTGATCACACAAGTCACTTTATATCATCACTGGTCACTTTAACTTGTCATCCACTACACATAATTCATAATTGTCCTGAATTGCTCAACTATTTATATTCTTTTGTATATACATCCTATTGTTGTTTCTATCTGTATTTATCTCATCTATCCTGTGTATTCTGTATTACTTCTTTCTCTGTCTTGCTGCTGCAATGCCCGAATTTCCCCTCTGGGGATCAATAAAGTATTATCCTATCCTATCCTATCCTATGTATAGATCCAAGCTTAACCAAATACATGGAAATGTATGAGATGTGTTGCAAAAGAGGTCACGGACCTGTATTGAATTGAAATCAGAGTGATATTTAACATTGTTTTTTCTTTATCTCTCAACGTGTCCCAATGAATGCCACACTGGTTCACACCAGGTTCCCATGTGTGCCTGAAGCCTACAGCTCCAATGTCACATACACCATAATGGATTGGCTCTCTGGCTTCCCTCCTGAGACCTGCATTAAGGCTGCTACGCTGCCTCCCAGCTTACATGCCTAGCTTTACTTGTATGAGATTATTGATCGAGGCAAGAGGAGAAAATACAGAGTGAGTGAGGGAAATGAGAAATTGAGAGATGAAGATGGAGAGAAAATAAGAAAAAAAGAACAGATTACAATAGAGGAAAAGAAAAAGAGGAGAAGAAAATAGAGGGAGAAATGGACTGGATAGAGTAATGATGGCATTCATTCAGCTTACTCAACTTAAAACTGCATCACTTAAAAATGTGGTTTGTTGTCAAATCTAAAAATGAAAACCTACGAATATGGTCCCTTTTGCATTTAATTGCATTATTCAATCCAATGCCAACTGCACAACAATTAGCTGAAATTGAATATATATCCTGTATTAATTGCTCTTCCAGTGAAACCCTGTCCTTTCAACAGGTACACAGCGATAGGAAAAGTGCAGAAAATGCATAGCTAGTTCCAAGTGCCTCTATGGAGGTTATTCAATTATATAGTTTAGTTTAATCGTTTATTTGAATCAGGGACAGTGTACAAAAAAACATTAGTCTCAGAAGAGAAGAGATGCTTTGTAGCAGATTTAGCTAGCTAGCTAATTTCCATCTGTTTCATCGGTCCACTTGGAAACCCAATAAGAATCAAACAATTAAAATGTTCCCAATTTCAAGGTAACTTTTGGCATAGCGTAGTTGTAAAGCGTTTTAACATATAGCCCATAGTCACACAATAAGAAAAAACACATTCTGGCACTCATTTATATATAATCAAATACATAGTCCATAAAAAGAACAAAATCAGAACCGTTTCAAGTAAGTGATGGTACATTTTAAAGAAATCATTCACTTACTCAGCTTATTGCTATGTTAGCCTATAGGGCATTTATACTTTGTGAACAGCAAATCACATTGGTATAAAAGCGTTATTGTCACCTTTATAAAGGAAAATCTTCTCACTCACAGTCTTCAATATCACCAAAGATTCTATCATTCAGGTTGAAACTAAAATATAAAATGATCCTCCTTAATTTCCCAACGCACTTATTTCCTATCTCCTGTTGTGTTTTTCTAGTAATCCACTCCTCTTTCTATTTGTTTATGACACAATCTAAGAAGTCATGTGACTGTCTCTGAAGTGAAATGCGGGCAGACTGGTTGGGTTGGATACGAAAGTGCAAACACTGTTCGGAGCAAAGAGCTGCAGTGAGATGCCTTGAGGCAGAACAACAGTGGCTGTCTGCAGCTATAAGCTCACGGGCAGACTTTGGGGGGGGAAAGTAAGGTGAAATGAGGTTTTTGCAGACATACGTGTTCAAACACACAGACAAATGATATACACACTGATTGCTATTCTAGGCCTGGCTATGGCTAAGATCTACTGAAAAGAGGGAGGGACTCAGGCTAATACTTACACCAAAGCTATACATTTGAGTTTCCAGACAGCACTCACAGTTCATGAGAGAAGAAGGCAACTAGATCAGATTGCATCTCATTGGATGATCACAACACAGATCTGTTTTCACTGTTACCAAAACACCTGCTCAAACATATTTCAGAGATTACTGAAAAGCAGATTTAATCAAAAGCTCAAAAAAGTTTATATATTTAGACAGATCTAAGAGTCTAAGCTTTGTAAATAGTTTGCTGCTGGTAGCTTTATATAAAATAATATATGTGCAAGTATTAATGTTGTCATCCAATTCATAAAAGTGGGTTAGTATATTCCCAAAAATGTAGAAGCTATATTTGTAAGCTCCCTTTTTATTTAAAGCAACTAGATGCTCATCAGAGCTGCATCGGCCTGCTCTTTGAGCAAGAATGTTCATGACACAATACATAGGAAGCAGCCATTATTGTTTTAAACCAAAGACCAATAATCACACTGTTCTATTTACTTTTCTTTACAATAAATGTGGAAGAAAGCAGGGTGGAGGGCATTAATTATTTTTCATTGAATTTAGGAAATATCTGCAGTCAGTTCGTTGAATTCACTTTTGCAGAAGATTACCCACTCATAATGTGCAGATTACTGTCAAGTTGCTGAAATGAGGCTAATAACAGCAGTCATTCTCAGACAAACACTCACACGATGTGTAAACAGCCAAAGTGTGCAGAAACAAAAACAGTAGATATTGATCTTTATGCTATGAAGTGTGCATAGGAATAAAAGTAATCAAGAGCAGATTTGGTACTCACATGTTTGGACAGGTTGGCACTCTTTGAATCAACATCATACCTGTTTAAAAAAAAGGGAAAAACAAAGCTAGAGTCAGTTGATAAGAAAGTGGATAAGAAAGTGATGGAGGGTGACAGCTGGGAACACATGGAGTAAATCAGTACTGGAGCCAGTTTGTCACCAACAATCTCACTAAAGGCGCTGGGCATTTCCCTCCCCCCCATCAAGTGTTTACAAGCATCCTCCAACTGACACACTATCACTGTTAATGCATGTATGGAGTGGAAGTGATCAGCCACAAATAACTTTGTTTGTAACTAAATAAGCAAATGATAGTCCTTTTTCGGTTGTGTGGTCATTTGAGTTTAAGTGAACCATATCATGGACACTTTTTCTTGTTCTCTATCATTTCTCCATTTCACCTGCAGGTGAGTCATACCCTCATACTGTCCAAAAAGGACCCTTAAATGAAGAAGCTATCAGAAAGAATGAGAGGCAATCACACAAGCCATTCACTCATCTGGTCATTTTACAGTTCAGGTCATTTCATTTAGAAAGGATTGCCATTTAGTGGGTTATAATTTGGAGAAGAAATATTGAGCAATTTAGTAACTTTACTAGACTGACCAGTAAAATGCAGTCGGCATGTTCCTTTCTATAGGTTTGTATGTAATCAGGGTAATTGTGTATAGATGGTAAATGGTGCTTTCTAGCTTGCATAGTGCTTTCTAGTCTTCTGACTACACAAAGTGCAGGTCACACTTACCCATTCAAATCAGTACAATATATCAGTTGTAATATATTAACCTCAGTAAAACAAGATGTATCATTATTTTGAAGCGTGGCAGGCTGATCTAAATAAACAATTTACAGATGTTGAATGGTCGGATATGATGTCAAGAATACACACTTAATATTTGCCAAGTCACGGTTTGATTCAGCTCCTTTAAACACTGTTTCAAAGGTAATATACGATATCCAAAACAAGAAAAGATAAGACTTTCATTGCAAGGATCTAAGGATAACTTTCATCTAGTATATCGTTATAAAACGGGGATCATTACCGGGAATCACACAAATCTTCTTTTGGGTTTGTTTGCTGTTGTTTTTATAGTTTTTGCTTTTTTAGTAACGTAGTTATTTTGTTAACTGTATTTTTGTAAAAGAAAAATGCTTCAATAAAATTGAAAAAAATAATTAAGAAAGTTATAAAAAAATGTGTGTAAGAAATAAGAGGAGCAGCAAGAAATGTCAGAAGATATCTGAACAGAACAGACCCATTTACAACAGACAAACCACATGTGTGTTTCTCTCACATTACTGCATCTACTGTAACACAAACATAAACACATACACATCCATACATTGTTGTTTTTCTACCCAACTCTGCAAGTCCTACATGTACATGTAGCGGAGGGAGGAAAAGTAATAGGTTTTCACTTGTCAATGAATGTGTGATAATACTTGGTCCCATGGCACACGAGTCGAGCAGAAAGATATGAAAGGTTAAACGCTATTTCTTCCCTCAAGGGAATCTGTACACTACCATTTCACATCAACCATCCACTGGAACCCCGGTTGTTATGGTTACTGCAAGACCGACCCTCTGAGCACTCAAAACCATATAATGAGGCAGAGGCAGAAGATTGAGCAAAACACAGAACAACCCAAAACCCAGGACACTTGAATGGTATCAAACCAGTTACAGACCATGATAATTGGGCTACCACATGCAGGGATGCTTTCAAAGTATTTTACTTGGGCCAATAATTCAATTTAGAACACTGCAAGTGCACAAAGAAATGAGGCAGATTACTCACATGCCAATCAAACTACTACAAAGAGGCACAACTAAGACCTATAGCATGCTGCTGTAACATGCAGTATGCAGCAAAGTGAAAGAATCTGGAAAATTGGCAGTTAAATTTACATCTTCAATCCTTACTGAGCAGCAAAGCCCTGTATGAGAAGCATTCCTAAATGACTGGACAAAAGAAACTCTCAGAATCTGGTTGAAATAGTGTAGACCATCAATGCTCGAGAAACATTCTAAACAGCTGAGAAGGGTCGCTTTTGATGCAGATTGTAAGCCAACTAGGATTGATGGATGGTTCAGGCATTGATATAAAACTGGCATCACTTCCTACTGCTCTTCTAGAGGAGAAGAAGACAGCTTTAAGAACATTTGATTTTTTTCCAGGTGTTTGCAAACCACTCCTTATTTCAAAACTGAAGGAGAAAACAAACAAGGTTAGAGCAAAATGGGAAAATAATCTGGACTTGTCATCTCTGAGGAAGACTGGTTTGATGCTCTGTACAACACAGTCCACCTCCACCAGCTTGGGTCCTTGAAGATAATTCTGCTGGCATGATATGATTCAGTTTTTTATAACCCCTAAAATAAAAAAGTGTACGGACAGCTGAGGTTGGAAGGGGTCTATGTCGGAGGAAATGTGGATGAAAAATAGACCATTTTCACATATTTTGGAACTGCCCAGTAATTCGGCCATATAGGCAGTACAAAACACTTTTGGTGTTAATGACTGTTCTCTCAACTATTTACTTGTGCAACTCACAAACTTCAGTGAAGGATAAATATCTAATTAAGATACAACTAGCAGGCAGCAAAAATGCAGTAACTGGATAATGGTTACAGCCCAAACCTCCAACAAAGACTGACTGGAAAGCTACTGTGACACTCAGCAAGGAAGTCATTCTGTCCATACCTTCCACTTCTAAGAGCCAAGAAATTCCTGCAATATTGGGAAAAATGTATTGTTTGTTACTTCTGAGAGGCAATAAATAAACCACTATCATATGAATGCAAACACACACTCCCACACACATGAATCACACAATGAAATTAACTCCTCCTCACATAGTATAACTTTCAGATCCCATTTGTGTTGTTGGCATGGCTCCCTGGGTTACAGATTATAATATAATTAGTCACAATCTAATAAAATAAGCCTCCACAATCCTCTCTGTAATTCAATGAGAAATGTGATCTGAGAGCAAATTAAGAAAGAAAATCCCTTCACCTACCGCCAGTCTGGTGGCATAATAAATCTAAAGACCTCTGCCTCTGTCTCCTGATAGTGTCTCGCAACAGACAGAAATACCTACAGGTACCCTTAGAAATGTACAGATCCAAATGTACATAGTCAGAGTACATTTGAAGTGATATATACAGGGTTCCCACTCTTTTCCAGAGATCATTTGTCAGGCACAAAGTCATAGGCCTGGAAGTGAGACAGCAGCTAGGTTAGTAAGAAAAACAAACTAGAGAGGAAGATTCAGAGCAAGCTAGCACGTCATCGATAACGTTATCTAACTACTGTTAATGTGCTGACCTCAAACCAAGGAGAAAACACAAGTCTACTTCCATCCCTTCAACTAAATTGTAAATAAATATCGGTTTTTGACACAAGACATTATCAATAGACTTCCATTCAATCTGCGTTGTGGATTATTGTAACAAATAGATACTTTTATTAACGTGTGGCGGTGAAAATGTCCAACCCTGTAGGAGAGTGTTGGAATAATTTTCCAGGACATGACTTTTTCTCTGATTTTCCAGGTGTTTTCCAATACTGGAAAATTAGTCAACTGTTTTCCAGGTTTTCCAGGATGGTTGGGAACCCTGTATATAGAGAGGTGCACTGGAAGTATCAGTAACAACAGAATGAATCCCAAGCGCCTCCCCTTTAGGAAAGAAAACAAAGGGGGGGGGGGGTTTGATGTATATTTCAAAGTCATAGATCAAGAGCAATTAGATTAGCCATTTTAAATGCACAATTTTAATGGTATGTGATTGAATAATTTAAAGATGTATAGAAGCAATTGCAAGTTGTGGTTGTTAGAAAAATATGAACTCTGATTTCCATTTAGGTCTACAACTTCAATTTAGCTTATTAAGTGTTTTAGCTATTTGAATGAATGGCTAATCAAGAGGTAGGCATGCCAGCTTAACAAGCTGAATTTATCAACAGTAAAGCTAAGATTGGACCACTGCTTTTAAGTTTCAAGAGATCAAGATAACACTAATATAACTAAATGAATGAAGCTGTCTCAGTGCTCTCTGTGCAATAAGTCACTTTTTAATAACATCAGTGTAAACAGATAGATGGTTTGATATGTGGAGAAAATGACATGAATATGCTTAACACTGTCTGTAAACCTCTTTTACATTTTAATACACAAGTGCACTTTGTTTTAAATAAGTCAAAATGTTTTTGGTTGGCATGAATGAAAATAATCGCTGTGCACATTTATAACCTTCTTTTGAACTACAAAAATGAGAGTAAAGCAGAGTATAAGAACACAAACCTGTTTGGTCTACACAATAAAGGAGACAAATGTGTGACATAAAATAGCTATTTCTGTAGCTACAATAAACCATTTGCAAAATCAAATGATTCCCCTTTTCCTCATTTACCAATGAAACTTCTCTAAGGATGTTTGTTTCTTCTTTGTTATTTAAAAGCTGAAATGTGAATTAGATGTTTTCTAGATCAAGTCATTACTTACAAGTCAAACCGGATGTTCTGTCGCTCTTCAAAGAAGTAGTCCAACATGAATTTCTGCACGAAGTCTGGGTTTAGCGTGTTGTCAATGACCTCTGTTCTCCCAAACTAGATCAAATAAAGTAAAAAAAGAAAAGGTAGGCATGAAAACATTTTCTTGATGTAGTTCTTGGCCCACTACAGTCAGAGTTAGCACTTTTTATTTAACTATGTCATTTAAAATATTTATTCAACAGAACATTTTTTTTATACACATCAATTTTTAAATCTCTTTGTGCAGTTGGGTGACTCATGCAAATAACTAATCACCTGTTTATAACCTCAGAGACATGTCAGGGTACATGCAAGTTACAATGATTATATACAGCTTTAGGCTAATGTATGCAGAGCAGCTGACGTATCAAGTCAATGGGGTTCAAGTAGGTTCCAGTTTGACATTTAACTTTTAGCATTTTAGAAAAGCATACTCATGACAGGCAACTCGGAACTATGAATAACTGCTCAGAATCTGAGCTGCATTTACATTTATGAATATACATTACATGTGAAACACGGTGGTGAAATTCAGTCATGCATGAGTGCAGTTCATAAAGAAACTGTCGCAGCTGGTTCACAAGCACAAACAGTGTTGTTTATAATCACAATTAGCTGATTATTATGATTATTTCAGATTGGTAATTTCAATTGGACATTGTGTACCGTTTCTAAAATATACTGAAGCTTTAGTAGCAGAGACAAAATAATTCAGATATAGTTTAAAAAGTGTAAATGTTGCATTAAATAAACTCAAAATCAATGATTCAAAGTAACTTAACTACAATGCTAATTTGATTATTTTTATAGTATCACTATGGGTGTGTTTTCAGGAAAAAAAAATGATTTGGTCCACTTCTTGGTCCAGATTTTTCCACACTGCATTGAAATGAATCTTCAAAACGAGGCCCTGGTGGCGCAGTGGTTAGTGCGTGCGACCCATGTATGGAGGCTGTCATCTCAAGCAGGCGTCCCAGGTTCACACCCCACCTGTGGCTTCTTTCCTGCATGTCATTCCCTGATTTCTGACTCTATCCACTGTCCTATCTATCCATTAAAGCCCCAAAAAGAATCTTCAAAGTTAAAAGTCATGCCAGGTGAAAACAAAAAAAACACATTTTTCACCTGGCTTAACTTTAAACTATGAAGATTAATTTAGATGCAGATTGTGATGTAGTTTGAATTGGCTACATGCAGTCTCTCTCTTCCTTAACTTCTCACCTCTCTCCACTCCTTGTTGCCCATGGCTTGTGTGTAGAGAACACAAACTGGAAGAAACAGAAACACATGATTCCATTACATTGAAGGTCAAAGTACACTCATACAGTCGGCCTGGCATTTTCCTAAAGGACTAACGGACACTTTTACAATAACATTCTTTTTTTTTATAATACTGGAACTGACAAATAAAGGGAAATTTAAAATAACTTCACTCCCATTGGAATATGACTTATAAACCAAAACTGCACCGATTACAAAAAAATAATTAACATCAAAGCGACTAGCCCAAACATAGATATCAGGGTCCTCGTCTTCACACATCATGTCAGGCCATTATGATGCAATTTCCCTAAATAAGAGATTCAATAAATGGCAAATTACTGAGCTGACTTATCATGAACTGAATTTCTAGAGGCTTTTGAAGTTCTTTTCAGATAAGTGATGGAGAGATATGTGCACACATTCATCACACACCTTGGGGTCTTGCACAAACAGACATAAATAACAGACTATATATTCTTCTCTGATTTGCCGTGTATGTAACAAATAACTTTTTTAATTAAGAAAAAAAAACATCCTCCGAGCCCTGCTTTTTTAACTGCCCTTTACAGACATTCTATTTTTTTCCTCTTTCATGTAGCTCTGTACTCTTAACCTCATAACGGTGGTTCATATAAGGAGCCAAAAGTCACTTCACTCAGCAGAACTATAAGTGCAACTCAGCACAATAGCAGGTCTAAATGTATGGGTTAAGCCTGAGTTCCTTCCAGCTCTTTATCATCACCATGTTAATCACTGTCATCCTTGTCATCCTGCATGCTCACCACTGTCACTATCATCACCTTGACTCATTTTTATTCCAGGCTCTTATTGATGTGCTGACTAGACACTGTTTTGGCAAGTCTTCATGTGTGTGTGTGTGTGTGTGTGTGTGTGTGTGTGTGTGTGTGTGTGTGTGTGTATTCATGGGTCCTTATACAGCACCAGAAGTCTTCCTGATATTGTGTTTGGATATTTACATTACAGGAAAGACCTTTTTTTTTATTTTCAAGCTTAGGAAATACTTTTTTTAAATTTATTTCATGAATTTCATTCTTATTGCACTTTTGCTTCACTGTAAATACCCTAAACATATTCTTACTTCTGCATACTCCCTACCCGACTTTCTCATTGTGAAACTCAGAAATGATAAGTATCAGAGTTTAAAAATGTCAGAAAACGATGCACTTGGAGAAACACAATAGGGTTTATAGGTTATAGTCAAAGAAAAAGGTGGTGGCTCTTACTTGGGTCTGATTTAGAGAAAGTGTCCAGGTCTAGCAGGTTTCTGTGGAGACACAAAGGGGTAAGTTGTTAGTAACAAAGTTCCCTTTGTGAAACACAAAATAATTCATCATACAACTGTGTCACGATCGGTTGAAAAAACAAAAATAGGAGGACCCATGTGAAGAGTGGAAAACTATTTAATTGTTACAAAAAGGCCAAAGGCAAACAAAACGGACTTTCTTAAAAAAAAAAAAAAAAAATCAAAACGCAGGGAACATCACTTGGAGACACAGAGAAGGTATGGCATTGACGGGGGTGTATCCAAATTTCCAAGTACCTACTCAATCTGTCAGTAGACAGTAGTCAGTACCTACTATCCGTGCTGTATACTGTTAGTACCTACTATTCAGTAGGCGCGCACAGTAGGCAGATATTTGTTCCTACTTCTTCTGATTCATTCAGTAAGGAAGTGACGTCATTTACGTTTCCCAAACCGGCCGCATTCACCCGTTTTTATTTTTTTTATTTTTTTAGGGCTGGGCAACGATTAAAAGTTTTAATCGCGTTAATCGCATGAGTTCCTGTGATTAATCACGATTAATCGCATTGTTATACGCAAAATCCAATAATGAATTCAAAAGTAGTGTATAGCGCACTTCTATTGTAAATGTACTTCAACTTAAACAATGTAATCAAAGCAAATAAATACAAAACTAAAGCTTATTGCCACTGCAAGGGCATAATGTCATCCTGTTTGTTATATAAAAAAAAAACTGCCCAGAAAGGTTTTAGGCCAAGACGTATAATGAAAATGTCGGGACGCCATTTTTAAAGTGGGGGAGAGTGTGACAGGTCAATTGAGAACATTGATGTTTATTGTTTGGTTATCGGGGACCCCACAAACACATTTTTGTTGTACTTGTCATTTTGAAATTCTTTAGTTTATAATCTTTTTGAATTCATCTTCAAAGTTGCTAATGTTAATGTATTTTTCTGAACTGCAACATTATTCAAGCAGTTCATGTTGACGTTATTACGGTAATTAAATGCGCCGCATAATCTACGCCACAAGGTGGAGTCTGTGAGTGACAGTGATATGCAGAAGTTCAGAGAAGAAGAGTTGTTGTTGCGATGCTCCGGAGTTAGCAAGAAAGCTGTAGTTATTATTGAGCAGCTGAAGAGACTCGTAGGCAGAGTGAATGAAGGTACTGGGTCTTTGTTAAACGCTTAAATAAAGTCAAGACAAGTGAAACGACCTTTCAGCGTCCGCCTGAGTTTCTGGCTGCAACATATTTTGGAGTACTTATCAAGTACTCCGGTGATAAGAAAATTCAACTTTGCAGTGGTTACAAATAACTTTGGCTCTGTCGACTGCGCCGTCTGGAAGAACTTAAAAATGAAAATGGCCATGTAAAAGTTCCGTACACTTCTCCATGCTTGATTATCCGTCAATTCTTTTCTGAGTGTTTCCTCTTTCCTGTGAGCGCAGCAGCAGTAAGCAACACACTACGCTCGCTCACGATGGAATTTTACAAAATAAAAGCCAGTGAGCAACAGACTTTTACAATAAGAAAATAAATAATAAAAATTGCGTTAATGCAAGATAAAATAATTGTCGGCGATAATTAATTAATTAGTTAACGCGAAAATAACGCGTTAACGTGCCCAGCCCTAGTTTTTTTTGTTTATCTTTATTCAAGAAGAGTAATGCACATATACAGTCAGGTAAAAAAACAATATCACAAGTAAAAAACAGATTAAATAACTAAATAACATACAGTACATAAAGGAAAGTACAAATGAAAGACAGTAATATACAGAATATAAAATAAACCAGTAAAGACACATTTAAATAGTGAAATCATTATTTCAATAGAGGGGGAAAGGTTTTATAATAATGCAGATATTTGTTATATGTTATATAAACAGAGGCCGTCGAAAAAAATGGTGAATACAATTTGTGATGTCAATATGGATAAAAAAAAAAATCTTGATTATCATTTCGGCCAAAATTGTGCAGCTCTACCTTACACCCTCTCCCTGCACACTTTCACTAAGTTTGGGTGCTTGCCTGAAGAGCCAGCCTACATTTAGTGGCGTTCAAATCCTCCGAGTGTGGAGTGGGAGTGGGATATTATTAAACCCTCCAACAGCAGGTCTGCATGCTCGGAAGAGTGGGTTGTCTCTCAACTGGAAAGTCAGAGGCTCCTGTAGCCACAAGTTCAACGTGTCCTTACAGCAGGAGGTGACTTTGAGTGAAGTTCATTTCAGAGTGGGAGTGGGGAGAGAGAAAGGCCCCTCAACTAAACATAAGGTATTTGAGTAGGGTCTATCAGCTTCTACCAAAAGCATTAATGCATCTCAATTCCCAGGGTGAGCAAAAAAAGGAACCTGACATGAAAATACAAGCTGAGCTACAGATGTGACACTATCCACTATCTGGTCTATCTGGTCTGGGCTCTGAAGTGTTATATTCAGAGGGATGAGAGATTTCATGGCTTCTCATGCTTGAAAAACACTAGAAGAATCTCTGTGACTGGTGATATATTGTGAGGCCCTCTTTCTGAACAAACCACTGAAAACTGTAAAGTCTTTATGTTTCACACTGAGAGGAAGGAAGAGTGTTGAGGATAATAAATGTCCTGATGTGAAAATGATATGAGACTTCATCTTTTATACAGATTTCTAATAATAATAATAATACTACATTGGTTTTTTATAGCGCTTTTCTAAGAACTCAAAGACTCTTTGACAAAATATAAAACCATAAAACAAAACAAAAAACGACGAGGACAGTACAACAAAGAAGTAATGTGGGGGGGGGGAGGAGTTAGTGGTTGTAGGCAGTGATGAAGAGGTGAGTTTTGAGGGATTTCTTGAAGGAGGTGAGTGTGGGGGAGTCTCGGATGTTTTTTGGGAGTGAGTTCCAGAGGGTGGGAGCAGCAACAGAGAAAGCCCTGTCCCCCCAGGACCGGTCTAATGGTCTAAGAAGAAAAGGAAAGGTCAGAGAGGTACTGCTAACGTATCAATGAGATTAAATCACCCTGGCCTGTTAAACGCCTTGGTTTGGAATTAAGATGACCTGGAGAATGCCCAGGATGCAAGCTGGTTTTTAGGCCTGAGGTATTAAAGCGCAAATTAAGCAATCTCCCCTAAACAAGACATTTTCTAAAGGGAACATCACTGAGCTGACTCATCACACACTTTCTGGAGGCCGTTGATGTTCTTTTCAGCTAAGTGATGGAAAGATATAAATAACAATAATAAACAACAAGCTGGGGTGATTTAATCTAATTAATACATAAGCATCTCTGTCCTCTTCTCATTAGACCATAAGGGTCATCATCATTCTCATTAGAATTGAAATATTATAATTATTAGATTATCGTAAATAAAATTGAAACTCAATTAACTACTGGTCGCAACGCTTATTGTCGCATCATCCCTAATGTCTCTGCAAAGTTTCTGTCTCTCTAAAACTGTCCTATCAAATAAAGGCAAGAAACTATCTCTAAAAAAAAACATAGCACACAAGCTGGTGTAGTCAAATGTCTTGATTTGTGGCACATATTTACATATGATCTGGGAATGTGCTATGGTGCATCCATTTTGGTGTAGTATTTTGGAGATACTGGGGGGTTGGATTGATGTCACTCTCCCAGTGCACCCAAGGCTTTGCCTCCTTTGTGACAAGTCATTGGTGCCTAATGTAACAAATCCCAAATTTAGCATTTTAAAGGTTGGATTCATCACAGCCGCGAGAATTATACTGCGAAATTGGAGGGACCCCAGGCGCCCCACTGTGAAGGAATGGACTGACGAAATGGTTGAGATCTCTTCATATGAAAACATGTTGGGAAAATGAATCTTGGTGGAAAGATGACAGAGAGATGGGATCTGTTTTGGCAACATGTTAAACTAAGGTCATGCTTGTGGCTGTACCTCTCTTATGTCTGTGCCATTATTTTGTTATTTTTGTTATCTCATGCTAGGAGATGACTTACATGCTATGCCTAAGTGCTCTGTACTTGTTTTGGTATAAGATGTGCTGCATTGTTTTAAAAACTGTTAAAAGTGGTGGCGCAATGGTTAGGGCGCGCGCCCCATGTATTGAGGCTGTCATCTCAGGCGGGCGGCCCGGGCTCGCATCCTGCCTATGGCCTCCCTTCCGCATGTCGCTCCCCGCTCTCTCTCCCTGGTTTCCAACTCTATCCACTGTCCTGTCTCTCCATTAAAGGCACAAAAGCCCAAAAATAAATCTTAAAATAAAAAATAAAAAAAATGTTAAAAGTTAATAAAAACTTAAGTTACAAAAAAATGTCTTGATTTGTTGGACAAACAGTCCAATACATAAACTATAAACTAATCAATCATTGATTAAGTAATGTCTATATTCTGTTGATTGTGCTACTGCCTGATTGAAAAAGTATAGAAGCCTTTCTGTTCAAATAAGTCATTGACTCTTCTTCTAATTTAGACTCTTTTTGTTAACATTTAAAATTTTTCACCAATTAGGCTCTGGGTACCCCAACGTTGAGCAGCTCTCACATATTTCTACAATGGGATAGACTATGAAAATCATGCATGATGTTTACATGTTCTTCTCCAATGATAAACTTCAAATCTATCTGTTGCTACAAATTAAAAGATTGTCACTATCTAACACATTTTAAGAATAAAGCTGCATATCAAAAAGACGAGTGCATACTCAGATATGGGGTTGCGGTTAGTAGTACATGTTGGAATACACTTCCCTCTCAAAGAAATTTAAAGGCTCCACATTCTATGACTGTCTGCTGCTCAAAGCACATCACACGTGGTGCCACTCCAAATGGGCTCCTGGGCTCCCCCTGTGCGGGTATTGTGTGTGTGAGTAATACACATTTTAGGATTTCCACCTCAGAGGATAATGTGAATGAGTCACTGCTTTCTCTCTTGCTCTTTCCCTCTTTTCATCCAGAGGCAGGCTGTGCTACTGAAAGACTAAAACAGTGTTAGTCATTTTAGAAGAGAGTTTTCCAAACACACCATATTATTGAACTTTTGATTTAATGTCTTTAT